TCATTTATCCACACCAATAACAGTCTCTCAACATCTTCTATCACTTGCGATCTCTGTTTCGAAAACAAACTTGCACCTTTTGCAAGAACAGCTTAGTTGATTGTCATTTTGTTGGCCAAGATAGTAGCGATGGTTGATTGGGGTTTGGTATACAACCTGGCCAGCTCTGAGACATGCACTCCACTTTCGTATTTAGCAATTATCTCTTTCTTCATTTCCATAGTAATTTTCACCCTTTTTACCACAGGGTTGGCACTAGAAGCTTTCTTGGGGCCCATGGTGACTTATTTTGCAGTTATAAGCACTAAAAACACTGTGATAATATGAAATGTACCGAATGTATGCTTAGATGTGACCACACTGGCTGGCTTGTAAACGCTGGCACCCACGAGACAGCTGAGGCCACACGTGGGACGCGTCCCGGACGAATCACGTAAGGCGAGTTTTTTATTGTGAGGCGAGACAAAATTTTTGCATTCAAATGCTTCATATGGCAGATTTAACGTAACGCGATGCGTTCGTAAGGCGGGGGTCCACTGTACACAGTGTTGTGAGGCACGGTGAGGGTGCCAGTTCAGACAAACAAGTGGCTGAAAGATTCATGTGGGAATTCATATGTTATGTTGAGGCTGAAATACAGTGGACCCCCGGTTAACGATATTTTTTCACTCCATAAGTATGTTCAGGTACCAGTACTGACTGAATTTATTCCCATAAGGAATATTGTGAAGTAGATTAGTCCATTTCAAACCCCCAAACATACACGTACAAATGCACTTACATAAATACACTTACATAATTGGTCGCATTCGGGGGTAATCGTTATGCGGGGGTCCACTGTATTCCAACCCCAATAATTGTTCAGTTGTGACGAAACAGGCCTGTTTTTTAAGAAAATGCCAAAGACGACCTACATTATGCAGAAGGAAAAGGCACTCCCAGGACAGAAGCCTATGAAAGACAGGCTAACTCTCTTGTTGTGTGGTAATGCAAGTGTGGATTTCAAAGTGAAGCCTTTACTGGTGTATCACTCTGAAAACCCCAGTGTTCAAGAAAAACAGTGTTGTCAAGAGTAAACTGTGTGTGATGTGGAAGGCTAATAGTAGGGCATGGGTCACGTGGGAAATTTTCCTGGAATGGTTCAATGAAGTGTTTGACCCGAGTATGAAGAAATACCTCCTGGATAATAAATTGCCACTCCAGTGCCTCCTGTTAATGGATAATGCTCCTGCTCATCCTTCGGACTTGGAAGACCAATTGTCTAAGGAATTCAGTTTTGTAACAGTGAAGTTCTTGCCTCCTAACACCATTCCACTCATCCAGCCCATGAACCAGCAGATCATTGCAAACTTCAAAAAACTGTACACCAAAGCAATGTTTCAAAGGTGCTTTGACATAACCTCGGACTCTGAATTGACCCTAAGAGAGTTCTGGAATAATCACTTCAATATCTTCCACTGCATAAGCCTTATAGATAAGGCTTGGCAGGGAGTGACTTCCAGGACAACAAACTCTGCTTAGGGAAAATTGTGGCCAGATTGTGTACAAAAGAAGGATTTTGAAGGGTTTGAGGCTGACCCTGTCGACCCTACACCTGCTGTGCAATCAACTGTGGCACTGGGGAATTCCATGGGGTTAGATGTGAGTGGCAACGATGTGGAAGAGTTGGTGGAGGACCACAGTGAAGAGCTAACCACTGATGAGCTGCACGAGCTTCATCTGCAACAGCAACAGACCACAGTTGAGGAACTTGTTTCAGTGGAGGAGGAAGAGAGTTGGAAGAAGGTGCCTTCTTCAAAGAGTAAGGAGATTTGTGCAATGTGGACTAAATTGCATTCATTTGTGGAGGAACATCACCCTGAGAAAGCTGTTGAAATCTGTACTGGCGACTTTTACAATGACAATGCCATGTTCCATTTTATAGAAATCTTAGAGATGCCAGAAACAGACCTATCTGGACAGATATTTTGCACAACAGGGGTCCAGTGACTCTCAAGCTGGTCCTAGTGGCACTAAAAAATAAAGGAGGGAATTATCATTATTATTATTATTATCAAAAAGAAGTGCTAAGCCACAAGGGCTACAAAGGAGGGAAGTGACCCTGGATAAGGACTTGGTACCTAGAGTCCTTATGGAGGGGGATTCCCCTTCCAAAGACTAACCTCTCTTCCCTCTCCCCTCCTCCCTGTCTTCCTTCCAGCAACAACAACCTTCAATAAAGGTATGTGTCATGTGTAATGTTCATTCTTTTGTGCATGCAAATCTATCTTTAAGGTAAAAAAAAAAATTTTTGTCGATACTTCTGGGTGTCTGGAACGGATTAATTCTATTTACATTATTTCTTATGGGGAAAATGGTTTCAGTTTTGGCCGATGGCTCTGGAACGGATTAAACACGAAAACCGAGGGTCCACTGTAATTACTATATATACATTTGGAAGGGTATGTTATATATGTTTATACATGCTTCTAAACTGTTGTATCTGGGTGCCTCTACAAAGACAGTGATTATGTGTGAGTGAAGTGATCGTGTTGAATGATGAAAGTATTTTCTTTTTGGGGATTTTCTTTCTTTTTGGGTCACCCTGCCTAGGTGGGAGATGGCCGACTTATTGGAAAAAAATATACGTATATATATATATACTTATATGTGTGCAAAACACATTAGATAACTAATTTTTACTAGAATATAACATTTTATCAAAAGAGCAATATATGTCTTTCACTTTCCATGCAAGTTGCACATAAACAGAACTTGCACCAATGATTAATTTCATAATAAAAATTAAGAGGTAATGTTTACAAGATGTTTCAGAGTGAATGCAGCAGAATGTCCATTTTATTTTAATTTGTGGTAAGTGCTAAACCCATGAAGATTATACAGTGCTTGGGGAGGTAATAAAGTTTGGTCCAAGGAAGGGGAGAAGAAGTCCAGTTCCTTAAATCAAGAGGATAAGTGTGTAATGTACAGAGGTTATCACTACAGTGGAAGTTCTGTGGAGTCAATACCTCAGAGGAGGTTTCTTAATGCCAGTGAGGGACTCACCTAAACAACTTAACTTGAGTTCCAATTCCTTGAATCAGGCTCGAATGCCTTCCATTCCTTGATGCTGTATGACCCTTACAGGTTTAGCACTCCCCCTCCTATGAATTTAACAATCTGGGGTCCCAATGCCTCAGTTGCATATGCACTTAACTTAAAGTTAAAACTAGAGGAAACATTGAAGGTGATAGAAATGAATGTAGTAATGTATACTGTAGAAGCCCTTCATGAGGACTACCTTGATGCTGCTGAAAGATTCTCAATAACAAGAACTGATGCTAGCCTCTCCTGAGTACCTCCTATTTCCCAGACACTGTATGACCCTTATGAACTAAGTTCTTCCCCATGAATATATATTTATATATATATCCTAGGTAGTAGGTTGGTAGACAGCAACTGCCCAGGGAGGTACTGCCGTCCTGTCAAGTGAGTGTAAAACGAAAGCCTGTAATTGTTTTACATGATGGTAGGATTGCTGGTGTCCATTTTTCTGTCTCATAAACATGCAAGGTTTCAGGTACGTCTTGCTACTTCTACTTACACTTAGGTCATACTACACATACGTTTTTTTTTTTTTTTCAACAAGTTGGCTGTCTCCCGCCGAGGCAGGGTGACCCAAAAAAAAGAAAGAAAATCCCCAAAAAGAAAATACTTTCATCATCATTCAACACTTTCACCACACTCACACATTATCACTGTTTTAGCAGAGGTGCTCAGAATACAACAGTTTAGAAGCATATACGTATAAAGATACACAACATATACATGTACAACACAACACATACATGTACAAGCATATATATACACACCCCTCTGGGTTTTCTTCTATTTTCTTACTAGTTCTTGTTCTAGTTTATTTTCTCTTACCTCCATGGGGAAGTGGAACAGAATTCTTCCTCTGTAAGCCATGCGTGTTGTAGGAGGCAACTAAAATGCCGGGAGCAAGGGGCTAGTAACCTCTTCTCCTGTATATACTATTACTAAATGTAAAAGGAGAAACTTTCGTTTTTCCTTTTGGGCCACCCCGCCTCGGTGGTATACGGCCGGTGTGTTGAAAGAAAGAAGAGACATACATACATACTATTGAAGGAAAAAACGACTAGACTCATTATATATTCAATAAATGTTCTCACTGAAGAGGAGAAATTCCAAGATCGAGCCACTGAATGGTGCAGGAAACAGTCATGTGGACATACACAAAACTGAACTCTTTGCAAACTATAGGAAAAGTTATGAACAAATATACATGTATACAAGTACAGTAGTGTTGCACTGTATAAAATTTTCTTGTCACTCACAAACTAAAAAAAAAAAAAAATTATATAGGTATCACCTGAAAATTTACCTTTTTCCTTCCAAAAAAGCAAAATTGTTAGCTGAAGTTAAAAAAATTATGCTAACTTTTTATTTTAAATCTAAGACAGATTTAATGATGTTGCAGTTCAAAGGCTCTTATAAATTGCAATATCTACACATTTCAGGCAAGACAGCAATTTGATGATTGATAGTTAGGCTGGTGTGTTAAAAATATACATCAGCTTGATTTACCTTTCCCATCTAATAATTTACATTGTTTTATATGTTTCTGTTGCTGAAATGAGGGTGGAACACATCTTCAGGTTAACCATATACTGTATATATAATATATATATTGTGTAAGACTATTCATTGAAGATAATACTATACTCTTATGTTCCTAAGACATTAATTTTTTTTTATGTTACTATGCATTAAACAGCTTGGGAACTCTTGGATGATGTAATTTTCAATACATTTTATAATGGATTATTAATTTATAGCTTTAATATAAAATCATAAACTATAACTCTTTGTGGTTTGACCTACTGTATGTATCGTACTATACGGTACAGTGGAACCTTGGTACTCAAACAGCTCCCTACTTGAACAAAGCCCAGAGCTTGACCAAACATGAGCTACCAGAACTTCACTGTAAACTATTTCATGTTTCTTCACAGCTTTTTTTTTTTTTTTATGTTATTTGTATAAAGGAGTCACCATGGGGCCTATGAAGATTACTGATGACAGCCAACCAAAAAGAAAATTGGTTAGGAAGAATTCATTCGATGCTCAAATGGATCGGCACTCAAACAGCCTTCTGGAATGAATTAAGTTCGAGTACTGAGGTTCCACTGTATATCTTATGGAACAAGAGGCTTTGAATCAATGGAAAGTCAATCCTAAAACTAGAAAGCCAGTACTCTAACTAATGCCAGGTTGGCCTAATAAGATTTGGCCAACAAGATTTATTTCTGTACACTATGAAGGTTAGCACGGGCCCCACTGTGACCACAAATGCACATCTTTATAAATGAATCTCACACTATGGCTGTGGTAAGATCTAACCATGCTGGTATGAGATTTATCTGTAAAACTTGCATTTGCAGTCACAGCAGTGTCCATGCTAAACTTCCTAACATACAGAAACCCAATAGGACAAATCTTATTAGGCCTTCATAGTACAGTTAGAGCACTGGCCAGCTACATTTAGAAGTGGCTTGCCATGGATTCAAATTCTGTACTTTCCATGAGTTGTTTACAATGTTATGTTTCTAGTAATAATACTTAGTAGTAGTGCTTGTTTTTGTTAACTTGGTTAAGATTTATTACATGCTTAATGCATGTCATTCAGTATTTTACAAATTACAGAAATATTGTATTTGAACTGGAAGAGTAAAAATGTTTAATGCATAAGTGATATTTCCTGGAGGTCATCAAAATCCACTTCCTGATCATCATGTGATCCACTTGATTCACATAATGTGGGCCAATTTAAGATGTAAAAAAAATGACAATCACAATGTGATTTACCTCTACACTCACATGTAGTTCACATATGCAGCATTGTAAATATACTTATCACAGACAAGATAAAAAATGCTAATATACTGTACAGTGGTACCTCGGGATATGAACTTATTTTGTTCCAGAAGGTTGTCGGAGTGCTGATACCGAATGAATTTGTTCCTATAAGCAATAATGTAAATTAGATTAATCCGTTTCAGACCCCCATAAATACACTTACAAAAGCACTTAAATACACTTACATAATTGTTCGCATTTTGAGCTGTTCATATCCCAAGGTAGCACTGTATTTCAAAAGCAAAATTATGCAGGAACTCTAAGTATTTAAAAAGCAAACTCTAATGAAAGTAATAATCCAAGAATAGGTATATAATTACTTTAGATTAGAGAAAATTCTTAGAGAAACAAATTACATAAAGTTTCCATTCATTGTATAACTATTCATTATTTTCTTTCTATAAGCAGTGCTGTATGACCCTTGTGGGTTTAGTGCTTAGTTATGATAATAATAATAATTCTGTAAGAATGAAAATTCACCTACCTTTTACCTTCTGCTCATGCAAGAATATTATACATCATATCAGTCAGTACTTTTTAAAATCTTAAATCAATATTATTTCTGTTTTGAATTTTAAGTTTGTAGGTGCCATATTATTGAAAGTTTTCTGAGCTAACTGTTGATAGGGAAATCATTGTACTGGGTATTTGTTCTCCAGACCAGAAGTAAATTAAGATAGTAAATTCTGCCCAGTAATAAGTAACAAACAGAAACAAAAGCAGACTGGCCAAATATGCAACTGCAGCAACAATAAGTTTTAAGAAAAGTTACTATGTTAGATCTGTGATGTTGTCATTGTTTATTTACTCTATATTTTCTTTAGAATTTTGGTCAAATACTGTAATTGTGCTACAAGTCACCACAGTGTTAGGGTGTATCCCATATAAGAAAACTTTACAAAGCTTTAATCTCAATACTATGTGACTGCTTTGTTCTATGAATATGGCATTAACCCTTTGACTGTTGTAAGCCCCTTTCTGAAACTGTCATTCTATGTCACAAAATTTTTGGAAAAAAACAAAAAAAATTCTTATGAGATGATAGAGAATCTTTTCCCGATGGTAATGACACCAAAAGTAGGAAATTTGGTCGAAAACTCACGGAATTACACTCCCGTGAAGTTAGCAACCTCGGCAACATATACGCATCAGCGATTTCACCGACTCTGAGCCCTGTTTTTGGCCAATTTCATTGTTCCAGTTGACCAAACTCATAGCTATTTCTTTAGAACTCCATTTTTTCTATCAATTGAGTATAAGAAACCCCCCATTTACCAATTTGAACTACCCAATATAGTAGTCAGAAATTGGCAATTTGGCCAATTTCACGCAAATTAAAAAAGATGCCAATTTCAAAATAGGGTCCAGAATAAACAATGTAGACATTCTTGGCACTAAAATAACATATCCTCTGTTCATCAGTCATGCCTCTAGGCCCCTCTTATATTACTATTGCTTTCTATTTTTATTTTTTATTCATACAAAAAATACAAAATTTATTGTTATGCAGACTACTGCATTATTGTAAAAATGGTATAAATAATATCAGTGCACTAGTGAAAGAATATTAGACTCCCCAGTTGATGTGTATTGGACGTGTGGTGTGATTTACTTACTCTTGAATACTGGTAAAAATAAAAAATTTCTGCTACTTTGAGCTCAATTTCAAGGTAGTTTTCACTGTGAAACTAATCAAAATCATCTCTTATTTCTGCAATATGTTTTCCATTTTATCACGTGAGACCAAGAAAACGAGAATACAATGATAAATTCTATGCGAAAATACACCTCAAAGTCGGTGTTTTAATCCAAAAAAAACGGTCAGTTTTTTTTTTCTCATTATGCACTGCGTGCTGCAGGATTTTTTTTATGTGCTGCACACTGACCACACAGACCCATTCTCTCACATGTGGGCCTACCAGCTTTCTCCTGCTTGATTTGAATTATTATTATAATAAAAAAGAAGCACTAAGACACAAGGGCTATACAGCGCTGCAGGGTAGGGAAGGAAGCGAGGGTATTGGGCGGCAGAAGGGGGGAGGGATGATCAGTAGGTTACAGAAAACAGCGGGGCAGGGGATAGTGCGGGGGTAGAGGGTAGCAAGAGATTGAGGTAGAAAGGGCCGAAGGTATCAGAGTTTGTGAAGTAAGTCAGTTGTTGTCAAAAAGTCAATGAGAGAGTCCGGATGAAAGGTGGGTCCATCAGCGAGAAGGGAAGGTAAAGAGAGAGCAGCGGAGCTTGATCTGAAGCCGCTAGAATTATTGAGTATATATACGTCTGAAACACTGGCTCGTAAGACATATATATATGACCAAAACAGTCAAAGGGTTAATTAATAGTTACACTCTGAAATTTATTCTGTAATAATTATATTCTCATGGAAGAATAATACTGATGACAAATTACTGACCTAATTATTAAATATTTTCTAAAACTGCTATTATAAAAACTAATAACTTTGATGAAACTTGTGAAAACTCCCGATATAATCATTCACTAGGCTACGATTTTGTTACCGCAAGGGATTTAAGCCTATCTTCCCAAGTTGGTGGGAAACACTGAGTTTTTTTGTTCCAAAATACTTCCATATTATTGTAAACTTTGGGTGCTGGGTCATTATAATTTAGTGCTTCACAGATGCGACAATAGTGGAACACTTCAGAGGCAAAGTAACCATGTTCATTCAACACACGGTATCTGGACCGCCAAGCATGATATCTGTTGTATGCCACTGGATTTGAAGCCAAGTACCTGCAAATACAGTTTTATTAATAGCATTTAGAGTAAATAATGTATCAGTGACTGATATGATTCACTGACAAATTCTGATGTGTGGACAAACATTCTTTAATAGAGTTACCAATGCAGTACAACAACTGATCAATGAAAAACACTGGTAACTGATATGCAAGTGCAATCTAAAATAATATGGCTATTAAAATATAATTGTTTGACATCTACTGAGTGCTTTGGAACTTTGAGGTGGTAGAAATGAGTTATGCTGCTACACGCTTGGCTTGTTTTACTAACAAAAGTTTGAGATAGTTCATCATTCGGCAAAGAAGTTTTAATAAACCAAGTGCAAATAATTTATGCCACCTTTCATTTTTAAGTAAATTTTCCAGTGTAGACAGCTACATAAATTGTAAAACATTTTACCTAGAAGGAAATTAGTTTATTTGAATATATACTGTACATTTTCTCTGTAAAATAAATAATAAAAAAAAAGCAGCATGAAGGATTATTCTTAAAAAGACTAACTGTCAGCTTGTACCATTTATCTTCAAAAATCATACTGCTGAACCAGAATGCAAATACAGTAGGACCCTCAGTTATCGGCTGTAATCCGTTCCAGAAGGTCGCCAAAAACTGAAATAATATTTCTTTTCCCACCCTGGTGGAAGAAATAATAATAATAAAACAATTAATCCATTGACAAAAATATTCACAAAAAAATAATTTTTTTAACAATTATATAAATATTACATGGCTTCTGGAAGATAGAGAGGAGTTAGTGTTTGGAAGGGGAATCCCCCTCCATATAGACTTTGGGTAGCAAAGCCTTCTCTGGGGTTACTTCCCTCCTTTGTCTTTTAATGCCACTAGGACCAGCTTGTGAGTCACTGGACCCCTATCTCACAAAATAACTGTTCAGAGTGCTCTGTTTCTAGCATCTCTTTAAGGTTTCCCTGAAGTGGGACAGGGTTTTGTCACTAAACATGTAGCAGGTATGGCTTGTCTCAGCTTTGTCAGGGTGGTACTTCTCAACAAAACTTTGCACAAATGTTCTTAATCAATGAAGAAGGCACCTCCTTCACTCCCTCTGCCTCCTCCTCTGAAGCAAGTTCCTCAGCTGCAGTCTGTTCCTGTTTGAGTTGAAGCTCTTCAGTGGTTAGCGCTTCCCTGTGGTCCTCCACCAACTCTTCCACATCCTCGCCACTCACCTCCAACCCCACAATAGAGTCCACAGGGTCAGCAGGGTCAGGGTCAGCCTCAAACCCTTCAAAATCCCTCTCTTGGACACAATCTGGCCTCGGTTTTCTCCAAGCAGAGTTCAAAGTCCTGGAAGTCACTCCCTCCCAAGCCTTACCGATAAGGTTTATGCAATGGAGGATAGTGAAGTGATTCCTCCAGAACTCTTTTAGGGTCAACTGAGTGTCTGAGGTCACTTCAAAGCACTTTTGAAACAGTTTTTGTGTAGAGTTTTTTGAAGTTAGAAATGACATGCTGGTCAATGGGCTGGAGGAGAGGAGTGGCGTTAGGTGGCAAGAACTTCACTTTAATAAAACTGAAGACCCTAAACACTTCGTCTTCCAAGTCTGGAGGATGTGCAGGAGCATTGTCCAGTATCAGGAGGCACTTGAGTGGCAATTTCTTTTCCAGGAGGTATTTTTTCACATTTGGGCCAAACATATCATTACCCACTCTTTGAAAATTTGCCTTGTGACCCATGCCTTATGATCAACTTTCCACATCACAAACAATCTGTTCTTCAGGACATTGATTTTCTTGAACACTCTGGGATTTTCTGAGTGATACATGTGTAAAGGCTTCACTTTGAAATCCCCACTAGCATTACCACACTAGCCAGGCTTGTGTCCTGGCAGTGCCTTTTCCTCCTGGGTAATGTAGGTCCTGTTTGGCATTTACTTCCAAAACAGGCCTGTTTCGTCACAACTGAACACTTGTTGGGGTTCGAATCCTTCAGCCTGGAATTCGTGAACATACTTTTCAGCCGCACATATGTCAGAACTTGCAGCCTCACTATGCCTTACGACACTGTGTATGCCACTACGCTTCTTAACCCCTTGATTGTCACAACCCCAAATCCTGAGGTGTCTCCTGGTGTCAATTCTCCCCCCCCCCCCAAAAAAAAAAAAAATTCTTATGAAATGATAGAGAATCTTTTCCCTGATTGTAATAACACCAAAAGAACGAAATTTAATGGAATACTGATGGAATTACGCTCTCGCGAAGTTAGCAACCTCGGAGATATTTACGAATCGGCAATTTCGCCCACTTTGAGCCCTATTTATGGCTAATTCCATTCTTCCAATTGACCCAACTCATAGCTATTTCTTTAGAACTCCATTTTTTCTATTGATTGAGTACAAGAAACTGCCCATTTACCAATTTCAACTACCTAATAATGTGGTCAGAAATTTGCAATTTGGTCAATTAAATGAAAATTAAAAAATATGACAACTTCAAAATAGGGTCCAGAATAAACAATGTAAACATTCTTGGAACTAAAATAACATATCCTCTGTTCATTAGTCACGTCTCTAGGCCCCTCTTATATTACTATTGCTTTCCATTTTGATTTTTTATTCATACAAAAAATACAAAATTTATTGCTATGCAGACTACTGCAGTATTGTAATAATTGTATAAATAATATCAACCCATTCATGACTGCATATTAGAATGGCTACTTGGACATTTATTGGAAAATTACATCATTTGTTTACTTTTGAACATCGGCAAAAATCAAACATTTCCCCTATTTTGAGCTCCATTTCAAGGTTCTTTTCATAGTGAAACCAATCAAAATCACCTCTATTTCTATAATATGCTTTCCATTCTATCAAATGAGACCAAGAAAACGAGAATACAACAATAAATACTATACGAAAATAGACCACAAATTCAGCATTTTAATTAAAAAACATGGTTGGAGTTTTTTTTTTTGTCATTATGCACTGTGTGCTGCAGGATTCTTTTATATGGTGCACACTGACCACACAAACCCATTCTCTCACATGTGGGCCTACCAGCTTTCTCCTGCTTGATTTGAAGCCGCTAGAATTTATGAGTATATACATGTATACGTCAAAAACGGTGGCTAGTAAGACGTACGTATATGACCAAAACAGTCAAAGGGTTAAATCTATCAAACCATCTTTTGCTGACCCTAAATTCACAAACTGCAGCACTTGTTCCAGGCATTTTCTTTGCAAGATCTTCATACCTTGCCTTCTCACAAATAATGACTCCACAACACTGTCTCCCACTAATTCTTTTTCCTTAATCCACAATAATAATAACTTTGTTTAGTTAGAAAACTTACTCCTTTTGCAACATTAGCATCCTTGATTTGTTCTTTCTTTGCCAGGATGGATGTAATTGCTGATTTATTCTTGCTGTACATCCTGGCAAGTTCCAGCACCCTCATACCACTCTCAAACTTTTCGATCACTTCACACTTAAATTCCATGGTGTTTCTCACTTTCTTTACCACAGGAACTTTCTTTGGAGTCATGGTTACTTATTTCACAGTTGCACTGCAAAAATAACACAAATTACAATGGGAAATACAGTGGACCCTCAACCAACGATGGCATCGACTAACGACAAAATCGGGCAACGATGCATTTTTGCGTAAAAATATTGGTTCGACTAACGATGAAACTCTCAGGTAAAGACATTTGTCCCAAATGCGTCCACCTGTCCATCCAGTCTTAGCGCCTCAGCTGCCCTGCCTTCAGCTAGTGTGCCATTGTTTACAAGCCAGCGCGGACGGTTTCATGTAGACATGCGATATATTTTGTATTTTTCCATTGATTTTAGTGTTTGTAACTGCTAAATAAGCCACCATGAACCCAAAGAAAGCTTCTAGTGCCATCCCTGTGGTAAAAAGGGTGAGAAATATTATCGAAATACTATTGTACCACGGTCAGCTGTTGCTGCACCACTGTCAGCTGCTGTGTACCACCGTCAGCTGCTGCTGTACCATGGTCAGCTGCTGCTGTTGCTGCACCACCATCAGCTGCTGCTGTACCACCATCAGCTACTGCTGTACCATGGTCAGCTGCTGCTGTTGCTGCACCACCATCAGTGCTGCTGCCTGCACTCTCCTGTCAGCTGCTGCTGTTGCTGCACCACCATCAGCTGCTGCTGTTGCTGCACCACCGTCAGCTGCTGCTGCACCACCGTCAGCTGCTGCTGCACCACCATCAGCTGCTCTTGTATCACGGTCAGCTGCTGCTGCACCACCATCAGCTGCTGCTGCACCACCATCAGCTGCTGCTGCACCACCATCAGCTGTACTACTCGAAGATGTGGAGAGAGTGTTGTTGGTGTGGCTTAACGATAAACAATTACCGAGAAACAATTAACCCCAGAGGGTTAGCCACCCAGGATAACCCAAGAAAGTCAGTGTATCATCCAGGACTAACTTATTTCCATTGGGGTCCTTAATCTTGTCCCCCAGGATGCGACCCACACCAGCCGACTAACACCCAGGTGAACAGGAAAAAATGCCTGGAACTAGTGCTCATATTGGTGAATTTAAGGGCAGCAAAGGTTGGTTTGAGAGATTTAAGAATCGTAGTGGCATACACAGTGTGATAAGGCATGGCGAAGTTGAAAAATTCCAACCCCAACAAGTGTTCAATTGTGATGAAACAGGCGTGTTCTGGAAGAAAATGCCAAACAGGACCTACATTACTCAGGAGGAAAAGGCACTCCCAGGACACAAGCCTATGAAAGACAGGCTAACTCTCATGTTTTGTTATAATGCTAGTGGGGATTGCAAAGTGAAGTCTTTACTGGTGTATCACTCTGAAAATCCCAGTGTTCAAGAAAAACAGTGTCTCATCACTCATCAATACTCTTCAATAAAGGTAAGTGTCATTTAAGTATTTATTTATGTATTTATTGTGCATGTCTCATTGTTTTCTTTGTAGGGAAATGTATACAGTGGACCCTCGGCTAACGCCTGCATCGGCTAATGCCAAATTTGGCTAACA